AAGGCCATCTGGCAGCGTGCTGTGGTTGAATCGAGCCTCTATTTCAACAAGACCACTCATTACGGCTGTGCTCGACCGTGGCAGCTTTTATCGCCCAGCGTGCACATAGGTGTGACTTGAGCTTGTTTCTCTTTTCAGCATAGTACATCCACGCTAAACTGGTCGCCCAGTGGTTCAATTTTGGGATGGCAGATGGGCGCAGCTCAAACATCGACTTTCGGTAATTAAACATTATTCATAACTTGATGACAAAACATCGGTGAGAATAGCATGCAAGTATAGAGCTTCAGTTACGCGTGGTATGTATATGAGAGAAACTTCAACAAGCTGAAGATGCACATCATCGCGGCAGCAACCCCTAAAGCGATTTCGAAAATTGCATGACAGCAAGAGTAAAGTAAAGTAAGTCTCCCGAAAGCTCGAAAATCGCAAGAGTGACCATCACAAGGATAAAGAAGAAATCAGAGAAAGGGAAGTAACCAATAAGAAGCGAAGAAGGCACTGTGCTCACTGAGCCTTGCTTGCCCTTTTATAGTGCGCTTTGGCGCGCGATCACACCGCGACTGAATTTGAATTTTCTGCAGAGGGGCCACCAAGGAAGTTGCAAACATCATCCAAGAGGAACTAGGTGTCCTTCAAAAGACCTTACCTGGTATCATCTCCGGAACATCACCTTTATCCGGCTCGTTCCTCCTGAGACCTGAAAAGTCCAGACTGCGTTCGCGTCATTGACTAGCAAAAACAAAATTTCTGTTCCTTCTTTAGTGAACATTATTCTTTCACTCTCAGCACTTCATCGCTCTCCCAACTTGTACACTTGTTTTACACTTGTTCTTTTTTTATACAGTCTATTTACATCTACATAAGTTGCTCTTCAATTCTAGCCCTTGTCACCTTCATCATCTTCGATTCGGACTTTGCAGCATGAGCAACACCTCAAATGTTATCCGCATCAGGAGTTTGCGTTTAATTGTATTCGAAAGCGCAATTACAAGACTTGGCAAAGTGCCAGGAGCGCTTCGCGCAATACGCGCCGCGTGGACGGCTGTCAGTATGAACGAGGCCGAGGCATTGCAGCGGCGTTCAGCATGTGTCCGCCGCAAGCTGCATTTTAGGCGGAGCATGGAAGAATAACCGGAGATGGAGCCTTCCTCACGGTCCTGGATCCCCATCCCCACGCATGTTCGAACGGGAAAACTGCTACGCTTTGACAGCTGAAGGCTCGTTGGTCCCGCACATCCCAAGCACGCACGAGCGTACGCTGGGTCTTTAATCGCGGGAACTGTCTTCAAGCGGCGCTGCTTTCCTCTGCCTAGGTTTTATAAGCCCCACACATTCATGAGCCCCTTCAAGAACGTCGACTAAGCAGTGAATTTTATAAAAAAGGTCCTTTATTTTGACTCCAGCTTATGCAATAATCTACACAAACAGAACAGCAAGCATAAATCTCTTTACTATTGTATGTACATTTTTGATATGTCAGTACATGTTATGGCTCGAACTCGACAGTATATCAGTATCAGTAGTACCAGATGAAAAAGAAAAGACTGAGGTAAAGATTAAAAAAATAGACTCGGGCTATTCCTACACTCGGTGAATATGCAGCCGTCGTGGTTATCATAGCGCTAGAAGTGCTCGGGAGGCTACAAAAGAGACATTCTCCATGCTCAGGGTGAACGGTAAAGATCTAGCGAAACTACGAGGTCGAGGGTGAAGAGCCATATCTCGGCATTGTAGGGAGAGTGATCACAGACTTGGCTGCAAGCGCAGCTGAGACAGCGCATCCGTGAACTCTTGCCAACTCAGAGGGTGAGAGGTGCTTAAACTCCTCTGCTTCTGTCGCTGTGGTGTTGTCAAACCGCCGCCTTAACGGCTCCCTCTGCTCTGCTAATTTCTGTGTCCTCTGCCTGGAACCACTAACTTGTCCAAGTAGCGCCAAGGAACAGAAGAATTACTAATTTCCGTTAACATTACATACCTTAACGGCCGAGATCTAAGAGTAATCGGCGCAGTCCAGTGACAAATAACACGCTAGAGTATAGGCGCAGCCCGTCTACAAGCCGAACGCCGATTAAGAGAAAATTACACCAGCGGTGCCAAACAGCCTGGACCGCAAACAAATTCACAAAAGGCCATCAGCGCACGAATGACAGATTGAACGGTTTACTATGCTTACAAAACATCTAAGGCACAGATTCCGCTTTATGGTGAAAAAAGTAAAACGTCCAAGTCATACAGAAACTCCGTACAAGCTGCTTTCCAACTTTTGCGGTCAGCATACGGCAGAGTTTTTCGACCTAGCGCCAGCGTCCCTAGCGAATGTAGGGATATCGATGAACGCCAACGTATGCCCGCTTACGCCAGAAATTTCGCGGGCAGTTCAAGTGAGCAAAAGAGCCCGTGAAAACGCTGGCATTCGCTGAACAGATATCTATACTTTCCTAGTCGCTGGCATACGCTGGTGGACGCTGGCATACTTGGCCTACTCTGACGCGAATTATGAACGCAGTCTAAAGAATAAATGAATCTGAAGATCTAGAACTGCTACCCAGCTAAAGAAGAGTAATAATTACCCTAAATCCGAAATAAATTATACATTTCCAGAATGTCGATTTTTCAGTAGCGTGAAGCACTGATCGCAAACTCTTGCTGGTTTAGAATTCGATGGCAGTTTGATTCTCCCTTCGCTACATGATGCGCAAAATATTGACCCACACATTCTGAAAAATACAATCAATTAGTTGGAAACAAAGGAACGGACAGTATTCTTATGCTCCACTCTCGCCCAAGCGGAACGAACATACTAGCCCAAAAAAATCAAATAGTCGTTGCCTTTCTCAACACAAAAAGGTGCCTTTCCCACCCGCTATTGAGTTTCCACTAACTGGGCCGACATCGCTCTGAAAAAACTGCGAATGTGCACATGGTCTTGTTCGCTGCGGATGGCGGGGCGTTTTAGTGGACAGGGTTTGTCGGCGCCAGCCCGTTCTCACCAACTGTGGAAGCTAGGTTAACCACAGTCGGCAGAGAACAGGCTGAAGCCGCGCCACACCCAGCCTTCCGAAACGCCTTCGCCCGCAGAGAACAAAACTGTAGACGTGTCATGACCTGACTTGAATAACGTTTGTGCTGCCGCGTGGCCCCCTCAACTTTAGTGGTATCTCAACTAGTGCAGCGAAATCACTCCATTTGGAGGAAATGACCTACTTATAGCACCCTCATATCGCATTTTACTGTCTGCAATTTATGCTAAGCAGACAACACCCCCAATGTTATGGTAAATACGAATCGTCCGTGAGTTTGAAAACAAACCGGCAGTGATGTTTACGCTTTGAAATCGAAAACTTTTCCGAGCACGCCGTACACTGCGTGACGTCAGAATCATTTGCCCAGTGAGCATCAGAAAGCGGTAACAATTCCTCTGCAAGATCCAGCATACGCAGCTTGGACCTGGAAAACAAGTCCATTTTCGAAGAAAGCATCATGAAACATGAGCTCTCACGTACTCAGAAAGCGTACTCGCTCAGATTGACCTCCCAGCTCCTCCAGAGCACGTTCGGATTGCTCGGCACGTTCGGAGACACACGCATACTTCTCCGACAGTTCTCTCATCTCCTAAGTTTTCTGAAGTTTTCTACGAGTCAACGATTTCTAGAAGGCAATTCGGGGATGCAAGGCAGCGGTGCATCTGGAGAGGGCCACGTCATGTCTTTTCCCTGATTTTTGAAAGACTGGAACGACGCTACACTTCTATTTCTCGTTCCCGTCAACGGTCGCGAACATGAAGTAGTTGTGTCGCCGCCTCCGCCTGCCCTCCTCCTCCCCCCCCCACTC